TTATCAGTCGCTTGTTGAATCCTAAGAAATCATCAGTTGGGAGCTTATTCAAAGCCCCAATTTTCATGTGTAAGGCTGAAAACCTAGGTTCAAGTTCACCCCCTTCTACATTCTCTCCTGGGCAGCCTCTCTCTCTCCCATGGTTTAATACCATCTCTCCCAGCGGTAACAAACTGGGAGCCAGAAAGACAAATCTAGGCAAACCACGCATGAGTTTTATTAGTCTGCCCGTATTTTTTCAAAGTCTGACTCTGTCCGTAGTGAGACTGGGCATTTGCTTTCCACTGACCACTGCCCCCCCCCACACACACACACACCTGCATGTGTTACACCAGCTGCTTCCACCTTTACATTACCTGTCTGGACCCTGATTTTAGCCCGAAGTCAGTCTCTCACCTCAAACCTCTTTCTGAGCATCAGACCATATATACAGATGCTATGTATCCTGATGGTTCAGTGTGTGTATTTCATGGAAAGCCTGGCATGTAGCACAGGGCTAAATAAATATTAGAAAATGTTAGTTAGAGATATGTATTATTGTCTCTACTGCGCTCCTCTTCTTGGAGTCTCACAGGCACCTCACCTCAAGTATTCAAAACAGAGTTCCTCACTTTCCTCACCTTCGCCGGAAGGAAACCTCTGCTTCTCCACAGTCCTTCTTTCCACAGATGAAATTGTCAGTAAGTTGCCTAGACTGGAGGTCATCTGGGTTCTTTTGTCGCCTTTGTTCCGGCGTGTCATCAGACCTTATGCAGAATCTCTCTTGATTTTATCCAGTTTTCTCCATCTCCACTGTCACCTCCCTAGTCTAAGCCACCCATCGTCTTTGCCAGGACTATGTAGTGGCCTAATTATTCTCCAGCAAACACGATTGTTTCTATCTAACCCATTGTTCAATGCTAAGCCACAATGCTCATTTTACTAAAAAACTTGATCTTGCCTGTTCCCTGCATACAATCCATTTAGTGGCTTCCCATTGCCCCAGGATAAAATACAAATTCCTCTACAAGACCCTCCATAGGCTGGCTTCTGCCTCCACTGCAGCCTCCTCTAGCAGTGGTCCATGTTTCATCCCTTTAGGCTTCTGTTATCTGTGGGATGTGCCCCCCTGCCTCTGGCCTCTGGGCCCTCGCATCTGTTGTTCCTCTTTCTGCAAGGCTCTTCCTGCTTCGGTTCACTTGGATAGTTTCTGCACTTTCTCCATGTCTCAGCTCAGCTGTCACTTCCTCAGAAGGTCTTCCCAGGTACCCTAGACCAAGTCAGGGCCCCTGCTACCAGCTTGCAGAGACCCTATGCTTTCCTTGCAAAGCATTCATCACACAGCATCATGATTGCATCCTTTCTAAACCAAGGCTACACAAGAGCAGGGACTATCAGTGTCTAACTTGTCCACTGCTCTCTGTTGCATACCCATGCTTGGAACATAGTAGGTGCTCAATAAATGTTTGTTGAGGAAAGGAAGAAAGGGAGAGAAGAAGCAAAGAGTGGAAGGGGAACCAGAAAGAAACGCGACTAGCACCTTCTTGTGAAAGGGAGGACAAGAGCTGACACATCCCACACTCCAGCCCTAAAACTGACAACTCCTAAGGGCAGGAATTCTCTTACTCAATGTTGTAGCCTCAGCATCTTACAAAAAGCAGGTGTGCAATGAAGGTTGTTGAATGAATTCATTTATTCTAAGAACTTCTTGACCTAGACTATAACCAGTGGTATAACCAGCTAGAGAACTACTGTTTTTGTAATAAGCCTTGGGTAACTATTGGGTCTTCGGAAAAGTCATGACGCATGTTTGCAACAGATAGCACTTGTTCATTTTTGGAAGTACTAGAGTCATTCGCATCTATGTTATTGCTATGTCATTTGACGGCTGACAGTTCTAGCTTCATTCTAAAAAAATTTGAGCAATTTGGCTGAGTTTTGGAGATATTACAAGTTGAAGATGGAAGACCAAACTGTGCATTTTTGCCATATTTTACTGTTTTACTTCCATAAAGGGAAGAACGCGCATC